TTTGTGTGATTGATAAAGATTCACCGAAGTTGTAGAGGTGAACATCAAATAGACATGACTGGTGGTTTCAGAAGTGTGTGAGTGTGAGTACCTTGTGAGATAGGAGCTTGATTATCTAGCTAGATGAATCCATTTGTGACAGCTACTCGGCTGAGAAATAGCTACAGATTGGGGTTACTATAATGATTTATATTCGTTTATTCTTTTTGAAGGTTACCTAGACATGTGCGAAATTAGATGTGGACTTGCAATCTTTTTAGAACAGTAGCTAAGAGCATGTAAATAGTCTATCTAATATTTTGTTGGTGTCTTAATGAAGTTGATTCTTAGAATAGGTATGTTCGATTAAGACTACAAGATCTCATTGACCGGATGAATGTGTCTTGCTTAGAGAGTATTTCAGGAAACAGACTAAGAGTTAAAAAGAACTTGATGGCATGAACTTTTGGGCCTGTAATTTTGGACTAATGGGCTTGCCCAAAGTGTTTGCCTTTTATCTCTTCTTTGTCTTCTAGGTTTTTCTTGTTGTAACCGCCGTACACCTTCTCCCTCAATTATCATCTCTCTCGGCATGCATCAGCGAACACGCTCTCGTCGAGGTACCTCCGGGTCTCCACAAGCTCCTTCCTCCGATCCAACATCTGGCACTCCGAAGAAGAGATCTCGCCCTGAAGCCGGTGAATCAAGTCGACGCCGATCGTGTGAGCCTATCTCCTTTCTTCCCAAAGAACAACGATATGAAGAAGGCCGCCGCTTGTTCGAGGAGACGCTCCAAGAAGATCCTGAGAGTTATCAACCTCCGGCTGAGCCATACAGTCCTATGTTTGTCACCGAGGGAGCGTATGAACGATACCTGAAGTTTGCCGATAAGAAGTTCATTGATCATCAGTATCTTCCCCTCGATGATGAGAAGCTGCAGGAAGTCAAGAATGTTGTGGTTCATTCGGGGATGATTTACACAGCCATTGATGGTGAGCCGTATGTTCCTGATCTAGTGTGGGAGTTCTTAGCAAATCTCCTAGACGCTACGAGTGTCCGTGATGGTGGTGGAGTGGCTGTCTATGTGCGTGGAGCCATGTATGAGGTATCTCCGAGCATGATTGATCTTATGTATGCTCTGAGCCCCGGAGATCCTAACTACGATATGTACTCCGAGAATCTTGATACTGTGGTCACGTTTCTAACTGAGGGACGACATCAAAGGTGGGAAGGAATGTGCTCAAAACTCCTCACTTCTGACAATCAAGTGTTGTACAAGCTCTGTTGTACAAATTGGATGCCTACAATGAACTACACTCGCATGCATGCAGATCGTCTCAGGCTTCTCTACGCGCTTCATCACAACAAGCGAGCTGATTTTGGTGTTATCGCATATGGACAGCTAATGGAAATGGCTCACTCAGCTGACGATCGTAAGAGAAGAATTGGGTTTCCTTCTCTCATTCATCAGTTGTTGCATTTTCAGCGGGTTGTACCTCGTCATGAAAGAGATGAAGAGCTCACAGGACATCCCACTGCTCTTGTCAAAGATGGTAAAGCTGGCAGAGGTATAGGGGGAGTCAGCAAGCCACCTAA